AGCACTTAGAAATAGTTTTTGTCTCTGTAACAAATGAATTCTGAAATAAAAGCTGTTCTTCTATTGAGTTACTGATGTAGTGCCTCTCATTTATTGTCCCTAGCTAGCAAAGTTTTCTTTAGTGTGGTAGTCATAGAAGCAATTTGATCCTCCTTCTCCAATACACAGGTAAACATTGCACTGGCTGCACTTGAAAGTTGTCTTGTGTCTTGGAGAGGGGTTGTCAGGATTTGCTTTCTTTGAAGAGAAGTGCTTTCTTTCACAGACCACACAACGATGATTCTTGCCCTCCCCTTTGAAGGGAAAATGGATTCCAACATTACTGAGACGTTCAGGCACTGGTGTGTCCGCACTCCTCTTTCTTTTGTTAGAGGCAGTTGATTTGTGTTGCTGTGGGAAGTTGCCAACCAACTGCACACAAAGGTCTTCCTTGAAAGACAATAGATCCCTTTTCCTTCTTCCTCTTGGAGTTTGTGGGCACTTGAACCCCTCAAGAATGTAAGCATTGTAAATGCTTAGAAGGACCATCTTCAGGAAAATGCGAAGGTACCAACTCTTCTGTTTCTTTGACTTATTGACGGCTGTCATTTGGTCGGAGAGATCTACTCCTCCCATAAAGTTATTGTAGGACTTGACAATTCCTGGCCTATAAATCTTCTTGGTAACCCAGCGTCCTCGTAGCTTGACCCTTCTACACACCACGTCACTTTCATTTCTGACTTCTTCTGATTCGGCACCAGAGTTGTCATCTTCGACCCAATCTGGTACCACTGGCGGGGAATGTATTGTAGTTAGAAAGTAGACATTTTTTTTGTCTTTCCACCTCAAAGCTGTCATTCCTTGTTCCTTTGCAGTAAGCCATGCCACTTCTCGTTTCCTGAGAACAGCTCTTTTCAATTGTTCATGCGGGTAGCCCTTGCGAGGTCTTGCTGTCCCAGCAGCAAGAATTCCCCTTGTCCTCAACAAGAGGAAAAGAATTGGGCTGGTGTAAAAATTGTCAACATAAAGGTGATGGTTTGTATTGTGCAAATCTGCAACCAAATCCATGACAATCTTGCCGGTCTTTCCAATGTTACCAGCTTCTCTGTCGTCCTTCCCAGCATAGATAGAGAAATTCTTGCAATAGCCAGTCTTGGAATCACAGAGTTGAAAGAATTTCACTCCAAATTTAATTGGCTTATCTGGCATTCTCACCTTTATGGCTAACCTCCCTTTGAAAGGAACCATAGCTTCATCAATGGAGATTTCACGGGAGCAGTTAAAAAGTTCCTTGAATTTCTGAACAATATCATGATAAATACCTCTCACTTTATATAAGGGGTCTTGCTTTTCTTCTTCTGTTTGTTCGTGGTCTGGGTCGCAGAAGAATATGTACGATTTTAACTGGAAGAAACCTTTTCGAGATCGCAAAATGTTTTTCACTCCTGGAATGTGAAATAGCCTTGCTTCTGCAGATGACAGGAAGTAGCGTTCGTCGCGTGGGACAACAATAATGTCATTCGAAATGATCAACATTGCAATAAATGCCTTTAACTCTTCGGATGTGACAGGTTGCCAATTTGGTACTTCTTTCTTCTGAGCATTCTTGTTCGTAAATTCCACAATTTTACCGATGATTTCCTCGGTGAAAAACAACGAGAAAAAGTCAAAAGCCTTACCAGTATCAGGTAAGTTTATTGTCGGACCAGGAGTTAATGTGAACGGTTGCATGTCTACATCGAAGCGCTGGTTCTCCCACTTCATGTCTTCGGGCAAATCGAAATTAAAACCAGCGAAATCCTCTTCCTCTTCATCGCTATCGAACAGCTCTTCAAGGACATCGTCATCTTGGAAAGAATATTCGCTTGAAGATGATAAATCTGATCCAGAATTGTCGCTCTCGTCACCCGAAGACATTTAAAAATGGCGAAGTTCGAATTTTTATCTCGTTGAACTTTCAAAACAAAATATCTCGAAAACTTTGTATGAAACCGCGTGGTGATAAAAACACGATTGCATTACTCAAACCCTCCCTAGGAAAATGGCAATATCTGGGTCCCCCAATTGCTAAAAAAAGCCTGGTTACAGAGCGGTAATATATGTAAATTTATTTGGCCGCTAAAGGGGCCACGAATGTTGCAGTACCTTTTTGTCAGTGGCCTCTAAAGAGGCCACCGGTGGTGAAAGGGTTAAATTTAGCGACCGCTCCGCTGATGATTTGCTGGTATTTGATAAGCTCGAGCGCCCGTCGTGGGTAGGCATTCACGAGTATTAACATGTAGGTCATGAAAGCGTCGAGCCACTTGGGGAAGGTATCAATTACTGATTTTTTTCTTTCTGACCATGGTAACCGGAGAACCCATGGGGCCTGAGGACGAGTCGTCCGAACGGAGCTGAATTTCAGGGGTCTGGGACTGGTATAATGTATCGGGCAAAAGTAACGCAAAGTCAATGTACTCACCTCTGAGTATTTTGTCCTCGAAAGTCTTGTCTACTCCCCTAGAGGGGAAGCCATGCCAGGTGTGAAGAGACTTTGAGGCGAGGCAGAAGGGAGCTGCGCGGCTGGTGAAGGAAGATGAGCGGCTGGCGAAGTTTGAAGCGTTGTTATGGCGGAGCGGACTGAATCAGTCACGATGGCCTCGATTGCTGCACGCTGAGTTTGGCTGAAACCGGTGTTCCGTTGGAAGTTGGACTCGTCCGGCTTAGGATCCGACTCGATCATGTCCTCGATAGAAGACAACGAAGCGTGGTCTGACAGGGTGTTGTCTTTGTTATTAACGTTGCCGAGGTTCGCTAAATGGCTTTCCGACGAGCGCCCGGTCGCTGTGGTGGTTCTCGTTGCAGGGCGCCCCTTAAGAGCTTTAGCCTTGGAAACTCGCTTTGGTTGCGCTGTGGTCGACGTGGCCACTTGTCCCGGCAAGGCCCCCTTCAGTCGATTTAGCAGCTGCCCTTTGGATCCCGTAATGGGGAGGTTCAGGGCTTGAAGACGGAGTTTGAGCACTTCGCTTGATAGCGCGGAGAGATCCTGTTCACCTCGGCTGGATGCACGGTTTGAGTGCAAAATAGTACGACGAGGGCGAGCCATTTTAAAAATTTTACAAGAATCGTATACTGAGCGCTAACCTTGCTGAATAACAGAAGCCAAGTGAACTCTGAACACCTGTTCTAGGCTTTTATAGCTGGACAAACGTCTGCTGGCATAGCCAGTAGAAAAGACTGTACTACAAGACAGCTCAGCGTTGCAAGTGCGAACTCTTAGCCATGAATAGTGCATTGAAAAAGTTGGCCAATGCTGTGGATCGTACTAGCACGCTAAAGACAACAAGGCCGTAAAGTTGTACGCTAGAATACAATGTATCTTAGAGCTTGCTGACCTTGGCAGCTTGACTACATAACTGCTTTATTGAAAAGAACCGCCATGAAAGGGTTACTGATAACTGGCGTCACGTTCCATTAACTACATTTTACTGGCGTGACAGTAAAATAGCTTCTAATGTAAATATGCCATGCATGGTCATTAAAGGATTGGAATCATGTGTCGCTGTCATTTACAGTCACAAATTTGGTTTGAAATTTGCAATATTAATAACATATAGTTCGAGTCAAATAACGGCTATGTTCTAACCTGCATCTATGTAAAGTTTTTCACAAGAGAATCTGGGCATTTTCCCATTTTCAAGTGCCTCCTTCATTACTTCTTTAAGCCTTTTCTTTCCTTCTCGATCTTCCCAGATTATTGTCATCTCATTAATAGCAATGCTTCTTGCAAGGGAAAGGACATTCATTCATGTCTCAGGTGCAATGTGAGCAAACTTGGTCCATTTTCCTGAGCCAAAGATTATGTAGATAACCTTCAGCAGAAAGTCAGTAACACTATAGCCTTTGATGGTTAGCCTCAGGACCAGGCTCCGCAGTGGGCAGAAAAGCCAAAATATGGCTTGAAGCTTTCTTTTTTCACCCTCACCGTTTTTTTTCCTTTTTCACCCACTGTGAGGCATGGTCCCAGGTTATTGATAGTGGATGGCTAATGTTTTGCACAAATTCTGGAAACCCATAGAGCTCCTGCCCAGCTTCTTAAAATAATGGGTTTTAGCCTCAAAGCATATACACCACAGTCTGATAAGAGGACCGGCTCTGTGTAATAGAACTTATAAAATGAACATATTCAAGAAAGATCATTCCTGGCGACCAAAAGTAAGCCCAATTACTATTCTTGGTCAGCAGTATTTTATCAACTGAAAAGGATTAGCACTCATTCACAAGGATCATAGCCGCTGATTTGGGGTAGTGCGGTACCTGAACAAGAAATTAGCAAGTCTGTTTCATAGAAATGCCCTTTGTACCTTCAAGCACCTGTTTAATCAAAGCATCTTTAACAACTCGCACAGACCTCTCGGCTGCCTCACTGGATTCAGGGTGGTAAGGTGGAACCAATATATGCTTAATGCCATGCTTGCCTGTGAATTCAGCAAAATTAGTTGATGTAAAGTGAGGGCCGTTGTCAGACACCACCTCCTCGGGTAAACCATGAGTAGCAAAAATCAAATGAGGTCTGTTGATTGTTTTTTTTTTCAGTAGTCAGGGGTGCACTGAATGGGGAATTTCTAATGTTTTGATATATTGTACAAACTCTAACTGCTTTTTCAATTTCCTGGCCCAGTTTTGGCCACCACATGTATGCACGAGCAATTGTCTTCATACCACATATACCAGGGGTTCCCAATGCAGTTGCCCCAGCAGTTTGGTGGGATGATAAACCTGCAGCCCCAAAGGACACTATCCTGCTTATAGGACAGTTCATCCCTTCTACTGTGATATGGTTCAAGGGTCTCATCATAACACCCCTCAGTCCAACCTGCAATCACAAATTGATGGACCTTGCTTAGTACAGGATCAATAAGGATTGCCTTTCTGTGTCCTCTGCAGTAATTGGAAATTCATCATCAATACACTCACGTTATAGACTGCAATAGACTTGTGCTACATTTTCAAAGTGAACTGATCCTCTCACTAAAACTCGCTTTTCCTTTAACTCCTTGCTGCTTGAGTCCTCGGAGGTAAAGCCACTTTCTTCACTTTTTTTTCTTCTAAAATTCTTGTTTACTGGTTATTATGCATGGCAATCTTACGAAAATGCACAGGAAAATTTTCCAAAAAAACGTGGATGGTTCTTTGAATGATTAATTAGGTAATTCCCATTCTTAAAGCTGTGAGTGAAAAATCCGAATTGTTTCCATTATTGGTTTTTCAATTGCCAGTGGTATTTTGTGACATAACATAATGGGTTTTAAGTACAACACATTCTTGTTCCTTTGAATTCCCATGGTAATTTTTCAGTTTTTCCCACTGTGGTCAATACAGTTAAACTTTGATGGGAATTTATAGAAAAACGTTCATGTTTCTCTCTTCCATTGATGGTTTTGGTGTAAAAAATGAGCAGAGGTTCTTTGATTTAACATGGTAGATTTTATGTGTAAACATTCGCACATTGGTTTTCACCTCCTTTTCCACAGCAGATTACAGAACTAAAACATGATTGGATTTATGTCAAAACAGATCCATGTAGTTTTTTTAAACCTTTTGTGATTTTTAAATAAAACCAATCATGGTTCACTCACATTTCATTGAATTATCACAGTGGTTTTCCACCGTTTGCCGTTCTGGATTAATACTGATACCTAAGATGACTTTTCTGTAAGAAACACCCATTTTTTTAATTTAAACCCATAAATATTTTTCAACTACAAGAGGCAAAAAAATTTCAAAGAGTTTGAATGTAAATTTATTGCATATTGCAGTTAAGTCAACTGCAAGGTACAGTCAAGAAAAAGTTCTAGGAAAAGCACTACAGACAAAACTCTGTTTTGTGACACCTGAAATCAGCAATCATTTATGTTTTCCGTAACAGGTTTAGAGGTTGAGTCAACGCAAGTTTCTCTCTAATAAAGAGAAAATAAAAGTTTCTTTGTGACACCAACTCACTCCATCACTATTTGAATTCATAAACTTGTTTAGATGTTTATGAGGCTGGTGCTCTTTCCAGAGTGTAAATTTTAATTGCAAACAGAAACTAACGACAGTGGGCCTTTTCATGGGTAAACACTGGACGAAAAAATGGATTTACTAGGGTAGCCAAATTACAGCAAATGTGTAGCAAATACCACGTTTGCACAATTTTGCGCAAGAGCAAAGACTGATATTGCACTAGATTTACTAACCGTAGCAATGACGGTAAATGCCACATTTGCACAACATTTACATCTTGGTGCAAAGATAATGGGCAGCCATGGATTTGAGGGTCATTTGCAGATGGTTCAAATGTGTAGGGAAATATGTTTCTTTGAACTATATTTGCACGTTACGCAAATGATAGCGCAAATCTGCTGTTTTGCACAGCTTTTGCTTTAGATGTAAAAGCATGTAAACCTGTTATTTTCAGAACGTTTACGCAGCTCTGTAAATGTGAGCGAAGTATCTAATTTGAACAATGTTTGCTTGGGTTATCATGGGTGATCAAAGGATAACTGTATTTGCAGAGCTACATGTACATGTACCTGTAAGTATGACCAGTCATAAATAATCTGGAATTTCTTTAAGAGCCTTGGATTAACTTATATTTCCTTATCACAAAGCAAATTCAGGAGCATTATCTTGTGCCTCCTGCTCTGAGGAGAAGCCATTCCTCCTTTCTATTGTCATTGACTAATGACATGCTTACATGTGACTGTTTTAATTTTGCTTTACTGTTCAGCTTGGCAAAGAGGTTTTTACAGGCTAAGTTGTTGACTCCCATGCTAGAGGCCTCCTGCAAAGCACTTTTCTCGGATTTGTCATCTCCTTGGTCTGTATTGCCTTGCTCTGAAGACATGTACTCCACATTTATACAAGCTTTGAACTTACAACAATCCCTCTTCGAAATAGAGGTTGACTCGCGTTGTCTCTTTAGCTTTTTCTGCAACAAACAGAAATTATACATAATTGAGATCATTAATATTGAAACTAAAGCTGTAGATGGTTGTCATGAAAAATACTATTGTCCTTTTCTGTCTAAATATTCTAGCCTTTTATAGCATAAAGGTTGCTGTTAGATATAACATGTATTATTACCGGCTGCAGTCACACTAGGTCACTAAACTTACTCATTTCCTGAGTTAACTGATATCAAAATTAACTAGTTTAAACAAAATGCTGGCTTGTAACTTTCATGTCTCAAATCTAACCCCAAGCGGTCATCATAATCCTGATTACACCGTACCTGTTAAAACTAAGACCTTCTTTGTGCAAAAACAAAACAAAAAAATTCGAGAAACCCTTTTGTAACAAGACAATTGACTCCAGGTAAATCATTGTATTAATTTTATAGTGAGTGTCCCACTACATCACTACCATAACGACATTATTGACATATAACTTAAAACTTCATGGACCTGCTTCTTCTGCCATATTGCCATCACTTACAGTGTATCTTGGGAACAAAAGTTTATTTATACTTATATTATATTTATATTATGCTTTACATTCAAGACTTAAATGAACTACATGTTCTGACAAGAGTTGTGCAGGTAAATACTCCAGAAACCTGTTTTGCTCACTTTTTTAAGAGAAATAAACGTAGTAGGATAAAAAGGAGACAAACCTCTTTTCACTATTGAACATTTAGTCAAGGTAGCAAAAATGCTTTTCAGTAGTATAGCTGGTCAGTTGGGGCAGCTGTTCTTAGAATGACGTTGATGCAAATAGCAGACCCCAACTGACCAGCAGTGACGTCATAGAAAGTTTATGGGCTGTAATGACATTATTAAGTTTATCAAAAACAATTAACAAACATTGTTAAAGTAAAAATACATTTTAATTGTTGTTTAATTAGGAAATAATACACGTTGAAAGAACAAAATTAATTACAAATATTCAAACGGAACACTGACACAGGTGTCTGGATCCAACACGCGCTTGTCAAAGACGAGACCATTCTTTTTGACACGTTTAGTTGGTCCAATAGTTTTGGCTGTGGTATCACAAAAAAAGTGATGTGAATTGATGACGTTGAGATGACGAGGGTGGTCTTGATGCTCATTTAATTCTCACAGGATGTTGCGTTTCATAGTGTCAAAGTTAAGAACTGCTGCACCACGATGGTTGAGAGTGAAGCCACGGACTTTACATTCCACTTTACCATTACGAGTACGGTACCCATAATTCTTAGCACCCCGAGACACAAATTCCACAATGACATCCCCTTCTAATTCGTCTGTCATCTCACCCAAATAATCGCCTATGGGAATGATGGGTTGTTCAGGTGACCAGAGGTAACTGACGCTGTCAGTGTCCTAATAGAGAACTTGTTGTTTGACAGTATACATGGCTTGATAAAGTTTTAAGCGTGCATGACAGGTTGTGAAGGCTGCAATGAAGATATTTACTTTGGTACCTTTATCGGCTGCGTCATGTTGACTTTTGTGAACGACTTTCAATACATCTTCAGTACAGAGACGGGTTGTGGGAATATCTAAAGTGTAATCTGTTAATAGATTGAAGAGTTGAGAGGGTTCTTGAACAGTGCCTGTGACAGATTTGTTTTGATGCTCTCCGAACTTGCCCCAAAAGGAATTGAGCATGAGTTTAGCAGTGGCTTTTCGACCTGGATTTTTTTGGACTTGAGCATAGTCTAGGGTGATACCACTTGTTTCCTCGGCAGGGATCATTTTTAACATCTTCTTCATTATAACCCTTTTCACATTTTAAACAATAATAGGTTCGGTTGACAAAGGCCGGAAACGCGGTGCACCCATCATAATGTTGATCCGATTTGGGTAGACGGATTTGATGAGGTGCCACCGGTTTCTTGAAGATTAAGAAAAAGGGTTTACTGCGACGCATGACTAGTAATTGATACTGTGAACCCAAGGCTTGCTGAAACTTCTGTAATTCTTTTACTCCACAGGGACCTTCAGGTACTCCAGCCAGTGAATGTAATTGTCGAGCCTCCTCATCTTGCACAAGAAACCCATGACCTAAATTTTCATACAATATATGAGACACCTGTCCCTTTGAGGGTAAATTTTTTCTTTTTGGGTGTGGGTTCCCCTTTTAAGGCTCGATCACTCTTGCGTATGAGTTGTTGGATTTTTCGTTTTATTTTATCGTTTTATCTGCCTATGGCTACATATACAAAGGCTGGTTTCTATGGTTTCTAACACAAAAACAGAGACTGGTGGAGTTGTCGAGAGAAATAATCCGTCTTTTTAACGAAATAACTTGCATTAAAATAAGTACGAATTTTTCTTGATTCTTACCTTGTCTGAAGAAACACCTACTCGATCCGGTGGCTGCCTACACGGCATAACTGTAAACAAAAATACTGCTGTCAGTTTTTTAAAATTTGTTGGCCCAGGTTGCTTCAACTGTAAATGGTCATCACGCCCTAGACTAACACGGAAAACCGAAAAAAAGCATTAACACAACTATAATAAGAAGCCTCCCTCCACACAGTGCAGGGGGCCGAGACTGAAACCTGTGAATGAAAATACAAATTGCTGCTGTTAGATTCACTCGATTCGTTTCAATTCAGTGTAGAAGAACATCATGAGAACTTCAGCATACAGATAAAATAACAATGGGAATTACTCTTGCATGCAAACGAGGAAAGTTCTTCAATCTGTGGAAACATCCGTGCGCCTTGAAATCCCTCGCAAAAATAACCGGACAAAACCGGCACAAAACCGGTTTTTTTCCGCAAACGCGATCTCTCTGGCCAGCTGTCAAATGTTTGTCGCTACTCTCGGGTAGAGGGAAGGGATACTTTTTTCAGTTGTCCTCAGTCTTCAGAGTTTCTCAGCCAGCTCGGCTTGAAATGCTAGAACAGTCAGTAATTCCCAGCCAAAGCCTCTAACAATAAGAAATTTCCCAGCCAGATCATTGGAACACCTAATATTTTGCCAGCAAGCAAGATTCCTATGGGGAACAGATAAGTGAGCAACAGATTCGTTGGGTGCCGCTAAATAAAACTTCTTGTTCTATTTCGTAGGTAAGGACTTGTTTTGCAGCCATAATAAACAAAAAACTATCGTACTTAGTGTCCAATGGTGAAAACACATGACTTGACCTCGGGTCAAAAGTGCATGTCATCCATTGTCGAATAGCTAAATAGATATTACATGAGAATGTAAAATTAATTATCGCTCTATAAACATCTATTAACAAAGCCCATGCGATGAATACTTCGCCTTCCTACTGGTATCCAATTTTGCAAAACAATATATCTACAAATACGAATAATACCTTCATCAATTACAATCTTCATTTGCGCTTGACGAATTTTTGGGGTGGATTCTTCATCAATGGGGGGGGGGAGGGGTGAAGCAATCGATAGACAGCTGAGCTCAATCCCACCGATAAATAATGATCCATTATGTGATGGCAATGACAACAGGAACTCGAAAATCTCTATCTAAAAAATAATAACAAAAAAGCCCTACAAATAAATACTCCCCCTTCCTACTTGTATCCTATTTAAAAAAAAAATATCTATAAAAATAAAAAAATCCCCTTTCTTAATTTCTATCTCTTTTGGGGCTTGGGGTTTTTTTGGGGGTGATTTTTCACAGAGGGGGGGGGGGGGGGGGTGAAGCAATCGATAGACAGCTGAGCTCAATCCCACCGATAAATAATGATCCATTATGTGATGGCAATGACAACAGGAACTCGAACGGTTGATTGCCCGAGGCATGGTGTACACTTGATTAAACTCCCTTTTCTTAAAGGGTGTCCATTGTGGTGGATACACTGATCTCGCCTTTAGTACAGGTACAGTCCTTTAGCACAATTCCAAACACCCTCCCCTGTTTGTTTCCAAAGAAAAGAAACACTAGAATTGTGTGACACTAAATGATTTCAACATCCTACAAGTTTTCTCAATCAATTTTCTCAGTGTGATAGTTCAGTGGTCCTTGAAATTCTAGAATTTGTTTTCAAGTTCATCAATTACAATCTTCATTTGCGCTTGACGAATTTTTGGGGTGGATTCTTCATCAATGGGGGGAGGGGGAGGGGTGAAGCAATCGATAGACAGCTGAGCTCAATCCCACCGATAAATGATGATCCATTATGTGATGGCAATGACTACAGGAACTCGAACGGTTGATTGCCCGAGGCATGGTGTACACTTGATTAAACTCCCTTTTCTTAAAGGGTGTCCATTGTGGTGGATACACTGATCTCGCCTTTAGTACAGGATGCACTGCCACTTCCATTTCTCTAATCCACTCTGTAAGAGGACACAAGGGTAACTGGCGTAATTGATGACACACATATGACATGCGATCGTAATTTTCACCAGCGCATGCTTTCCAAAAAATTTTTAAACACAACTCGTGGGAAAGCAAGCTCAAATATGAACCTTTTTCAGGTTCAAATGGCATACATAAATACCGTTCATCAGTGCTCACAATGGCTGCGTATTCTTTAATGTGCATGCGCATAACATGGGATTTTTCGGAATCGTTCACGGACTCGTGTTTCACCTTGGTTGTTTTTCTCCTGTGTTTTTCTACATTATTGTGTGTCACCACACTGGTATCCTTGCAAGTCAGGAAAATCAAAGTACCGTTTTTGTGGTTGAACAGCAGATTATATGGTCTTCACATGCTCACATGTGAATAGAGAATTAGAACTGCTGTTCACCATCACCGCACGGGCTTGTTTGCATAGGTGGTGTAAGCAAATAGTGCTTGGAGAATCAAATCTACAGTCCTTGATGACGAGACATCTGTCACCATGGTTACTGGTCTTGCACGAGTAGATGCTCCATAAACCAACAATCACTGAAGTGGACAATGGTATGTCCATTTTGGGTTTCTTGGAATTTTTGGGAATAAAAGTGCCTCCTAAATAGAACCCACAATTGGTAGACTTAGGCTCTTTATACCGATGGGCATATCCAAAAAGACAGTTGGGACATTTGCCCTTGCCTCGCTCACAAGAAGCCTATAAAGTGAAAGAAAAATAATGTATTACAAATAATATGGCTATCTAAAGAAGTGGTCCAAATAATAGTAAGACTATCACATTAACACTGAGACTTTGGGTGGGGCTCCAAGCAGATAAAAATAAATAACTCTAAACTGAGAAAGAAAAAAAAGGCTCAAGTTAAAAACTATTCCCCTTATTGCACTTGCCACACAGGCTATATTCAACCCTAAACAACCAGTTACATCAGTGTTCTTTGAAGCTAGGCTTATATTTAAACGAGCATGATTCGGTTAAGCAATTCAGAGAAATGATTGTACATTGTTAGAGATAATTTAACAATCATTTGGATGTTTGCAAAAATTTCCCCCCAAAACTTTACACTAAACACAAAGCAAAAAGCAAAGTGAATAAAAACTGGGCAGAGAAGGCAGGAGTGGCAAGGAATTAGAAGAAAGAGACAAACGTAACAGTTGGAAGGAGAGGATGGGCAAACTTCTATTAAACAAGAATGTTAAAATTTACACCTACACACATCTATCTCCGGAGTGGGAAGTCAGTTGACCATGATCAATGACGTCAAGCTTTTATGAAGGCTGTGACTTTCAATGGAAACTAGCAGAGTTTAAAAGGTAATTTTGCCACTCGCTTGCGAAAAATTAACAACTTTGATAAGATAAGAGACTGATGCTGCCCAACCTTTTCCTGGGCTATGCTTTTTATGATATGGCTGTGTCAGTCCAAGCATTTTTAACTAATGCAACAAATTTAAACAAAATACAAATGCAGACCCGTGTTTGTCCAAAAATGCATGATTTGTAGACCATTACATGAATCTTTGTCATCAATGATGAACTCATTTTGATCAGTATCTAAAAGTTTT